ACACACACACACACAGACACACACACACACAGACACACACAGACACACGCACACACAGACACACACACACACACACACACACACACACACACACAGACACACACACAGGGACACACACACACACACACACACACACACACACAGAGACACACACAGAGAGACACACACACACACAGACACACACACACAGACAGACACACACAGACAGACACACACACACAGACACACACACACACACACACACACACACACACACACACACACACACACATACACACACACACACACACACAGACACACAGTGACAAACCACCTTCATCATCCAACCGTCAGCATACAGGATCGACTGTGTCTCAGGAGGCAGAGCGGGTCGTCCACTGATCAGAAGGTTGTGGGTTCGATGCCCGGCTCCTCCCGCTGCATGAGGAAGTGTCCTTGAGCAAGATACTGATGCTGCTCCTGTATGTTACTGTATGATTGTACAGTAGAGTGGGTGAATGTGTAGCATAAAGCGAGACAGGCGCCGTACAGTACAGTTCATTTACCCTTTAACAGATCACAGGAGCACAGTGAGCTCACACCTGCTACAACATTTCTGATTGGTTCAGTCATTTCTGTTGAGCTCACAACAACAAAGTGAGTCTAAAAGAGTCTGTAAGATGGCACCAACACCCCTGTGCACTCACACAGGTGTTACAACAACTGGAAGCAGTCCGCAGGTGGAGTTGATTACTGCAGTCCAGAATCTCACTCCTCCTTTCTTTCTGATGTCCAGCCACAGTTTAACCTCCATAAATCCTCAAATCAGAGAAAAAAGACACTTCAGAACTCAGAGAATCATGGTTTCTTCAGGAATCCAGTGTCTGCTAACAGGAGCTGCTTACAGCTACTGTTAATGGACGTAGTCTCAGTCCATCAACTGAGACTCAGATTAAGCTATAAGGCGGGGGCAGGGTTGGATCAATAATCAATGAAAAGGTGGCGATGGATCATCACTGCGTTCTGTAGGAAGAGAAGGAAGCGTTAGTATTATGTTCATTCCATCCATTTATTGTCTGTTTCCCATGAAGTCACTGAAGAGAAGGTGTGATGAAGCAGCAGCTTTATTTTTACGTGTTCTTCTTGTATGTGTGTTTTCTATCTTTATACTAATGACAAATATGATTTAAGTTCTATTTCACCGTTAGTTTACAAAAAGTTTCATTTCAAAAACACTTGATCATGTAAAACTGCTCCCTGGTTGTTTTTAATGAGAGGTGTCAGTTAAAGGGCTCCACGTTGATGTTACACCAGCAGACTGAAACTGTTTGAGTTTTAACTCGCCGACCACCGTCGGGATGAGGAGTGTAAATATTTGTATAAAAAGAGAAGATATTTTATGGAGGTGATGTAAGTTAAGTGCCTTTATTTTGTACTCATTGTATCTGTCTGTTTACATCCAACAAACTTTACTTTTATTAGACTTTCTTGATGGAATAAATAAAATGTTTAAAGTGATTCTGTGTGTGGCCACTAGATGCTTCTGTTGGTTAATCTGAATGCTTTTTATTACTGTGTAATGCACAACAACAACAACAACAACAACAACAACGACATTACCTGAGCAATTAAATCATTACAGTTTGTTTACTGTATTATAAAACTGGACAATCTGAATAAATATTAGTCGCCCAGTTTCTGATCATCTGAAACTGTCACAAATGTGTCAGAGCTTCGTATTAACTTCAGATTATCATCCAGTGTTCATACAGACACCTGGTTGATTTAAAGGTGCAGTGGGTCACACTGAGGCAGAGGAGGGTAAACTATACCCTAGAACTGGAAGATAATATATAATAATACTGTTTACATTACCATAAAATCACCTGAAATAAGAATTGTTGTGTTTCTGTTTCCTGTGAGAACCCACGAGCCGCTCTAAAGCCAATTTGACGGAGTGGCCAAAAGGTGTAACTATAGCGACGTCATATGACGCACACCAGCCCCCAAATACTTTCACCATAAGCTTACACTGACTACGTTTACATGCACACTAATGTTCCACTATTATTCCCAAGATAATAATACATATTTGATAAGGGCTTTATAAAATGATAAGCTTTTATTCTGAATGTATTATTTCACTACTGAATCTTTCACTATATCCTGACTGTTGAGCAGGAGACAGACAATCTGTGAACGAATCAGGTTCCTCTGGCTCCTCCTAGTGGTCCTGATGGGACTAGAACAATCAATCAGAGCCAGGAAATATATAAAGACTCTTTGGGTTGGTTGTTTCAACAAGCAACTATCTTTTCTTGAATCCCCAAAAAACCCTTTTAACAGTGAAACGTCCTTTGTCTGGAGAAACCGTTATTTTTAAGGTGGAACTGCTTTATTCAGTTTTTAATCAACGGGTCTGTTTGGTTTTGAATAGTTTGTCTTGGTTGAACTAATGATTGAAGGGATTTTTCTGTGGAGTACCTCAGGGCTCTGTCCTTGGTCTCCTTCTGTTTTATATCTAAATGTTTCCACTTGGAAAAATACATAATCATAAGCTTTATTTTCTATGCTGATGACATTGAGCTTTATTTGTCCGTGAAATCCGGATCCACCAGCAGTCTGACGTCCAACAGATGTCCAATGTTACGTTATTATAAAGAAATAATCCTCTATGTGTCCTTAAACAAATCACCGTCTTTTCAGGTGTTCACATCTTTGTTGCTGATCTGAAGTTTTCAGGTGAAAATAAAACCCAGTTTTAAAAGCTTAATTTCTGTGTAGAGAAAGTTTCCTGTTCATGTTGTAAACTCAGACCATCAAATACTGACAGAGCCGTAAAACTTGCAGCTGCTGGCCTGATCTCTTTATTTCCACTCTGATTTATTAACATCTGTACCATCACACCTCCAACATGACACAGCAGTAAATCTGCTGAGTCGTTCCTTTGAACTCCGTCCATGTTGACTGTTTGATAAACGACAAGAAACTCAAAGTGTCTGATTCTGTCTGACAGCGTTACAGCTCAGGTTTCACGAAGGTCTCAGAAAACTTATTTTCATTCTGTTTTCAGCACAACTGTTTTTTTTCTATTTCAGACAGTTTTCTGTTATTTTAACACTTTTTAAATAAAAATCCAAATCAAACTGTTTATGCTGTTTTATTTTTTGTACTGTAAAAATGTTCTTCAAAGCTTCCATATGTCAGATTGTTAATCATTTTAGTTAGTTAGTTAGTTAGTTAGTAGCATGGAGCCAACGGTCCAAATAAAATATAGGAACATTGCAGATAGTAACGTTATTCTAAATATGATTGTCAGTTATTTTACAGCGTTCAGTGTTTGTCTCTGTTGGCTGAAGCCCAGGGTGATGCAACAGGACGCTGACTGCAGCTCACTGAACGGCCACTGGTGGTGCTCTTCATCCTCATCTTCGTCATCCTCACAGACCCAGCAGACTGTTTCTTTGTGGATGATGTCACACACTGATTGTAGCTACAGTAAACTGATTTTCTGTCAATAAACTGATTGATTAATAAACTGTTTGATTAATAAATTCATGGCAGTTTCATTTATAAGAAAACATCTTATTTTATAAACTTTTTACATGTTTGTGTGTAAAATCTCTTTTGTTTGTTTGTTTGTGTTTATCAACAGTGATAATAGTAATAATTATGTTTACTTATTTATTTATGTTTTTATTTGATTATCATCATCTGCAAATAAATAAAAGCAACTAGAAGTAGAAGTACTCTCTCTGTCTCTGTCTCTCTGTCTCTGTCTCTCTCTGTCTCTCTCTCTCTCTCTCTCTGTCTCTCTCTCTGTCTCTGTCTCTGTTTCTCTCTCCCTCTCTCTGTCTCTCTCTCTGTCTCTCTCTCATTCAGTTGAACAATGTCACGGAGGAAGCAGCTCAACCCTCAGCACATCCGACCGGCTGTTGGTGAGTTTATTTATTTATTGACTCTTTATTGATTCTTTAAAAATGTTCATTAACAGAGTTTTTTAAAAATATTACTTTATGGGTCTTTATAATCTTCTTTATAATATTATCATATGTGATAATTATAGTCAATAATCTAAACATTCCTGCACACACCTGTAGTTTTCCTTTATGTTGAGATTATTATATTATTATTTACATGTTACATCTTTAAATATATGTGCTGCATCTATATGTATTAGGTTGACGTTCATTCCTAATTAAAACATTTTGGTAATTTGCATTTGAGTTCAGTCAGGTGAGAAATTGGTTGTGACGTTTAACGGTTTTCAGAATAATCTCAAATGAAGATATTCTTATTTGCTCTTTAAAAAACAAGTGTTCATGATTTGTTAGGACATAAAACATCTTTTTACTCCTTTAAAGGTTTTTTAGTTTTATGATAAAAACTGCATCATGACAATAATCTCCTCTGTGTGTTGTAGAGGATGCGTCTGTCAGTCCGGAGGCTCCTCCTGCGGTCTGCAGCCGCTACAGTGCAGAGTTCAGTTCGCTATCAGACCTGGAACAACATCAAAGAAACTGCTCTACTGATCCTCCAGTTCTGATTGTGAATGAGGATGAAGATCTGCTGGGGGGGCCGGGTCAAACAGACAACACCAACACATCACAGGACAGATGCTACAGGGCAGTATTCACAGGTTGTTTAAGCAGCCGTAGAAGTGTAGAAAGCCCAGGAAGCACCAGTGGCTCTGAATGTAAGACTGCCCTTTATACCTCACTCTTCCCAGAATCCTCACCTCAACCTGGCTGCGCAGTGGACCAGAACCCGTGGATGAAGAGCAACGTCATTATTGAAAATCTAGAGAGCACTAAAGTGGCGGTGGCACAGCTTTCACAGTTGACGCACTCGGACAGCTCGTCTCTGCTGCAGCAGCTCCTCGCCCTGCAAATACAACAGATTCACCAGCTGCAGCTGATCGATCAAATCCATCACCAGCTGCTGTTGTTTGCTTCTCACCAAGCCGAGATACCGGAGACCCTGCTGAACTACACCAAAGACCTGCCATCTTCAAAATCCACCAATCAGCTCAAGGCTCTCAGCACTCAACTTTCTCAGCAACTAGCTGCAGCTGCTGGTTTAGCTAAATGCTTGTCAGCTCAGTCTGCTAACATCACCGACTTCAAGCATTTTACAGCCAAAGAGCAGCTCTCACGCTCAGAGTCCTCACAAAGGTTTAGCAAACTTGTGACAACAGCAGTCCCCGAGCACATGGACTGTGGTTCCCCTGACTTCCTGTCCCAAACCAAGATGTCTTCTTTAATGTTAAGCAATAATTGTTTCATCAGTAGGACTTCCAAGAACTCCCACTTACCTTCATCTTGCAGCGAGCACACAGCTTCAGATTCTATACCAAACATCAGTGAGATTGTGGAGGATCTGGATGCCCTCGCAGCCTTGGCCCAACAGGGGAAATGCAAGAATCTGAAGCTCCCTGCACCCACACTCTCTCCAAAAGAGTTGCTCTTCAAATGCAGATTTTGTGCGAAAGTTTTTGGAAGCGACGGTGCCTTGGAAATTCATCTGCGGTTACACACCGGAGAACGGCCGTACAAATGCAACATCTGTGGAAACTGGTTCTCCACACAGGGGAACCTCAAGGTTCATTTTCAGAAGCACAAAGAGAGGTACCCGCATATCCAAATGAACCCTTATCCTGAACACCTGGACGGTATCCAAACCAATGCTGGGATTCTTTTAGGTACGTCCTTGTCATTGGATAAAGTAGCCGATCTTTACTTTAATTCAGCAGCAACCATGGACTTCAGGTCTTCTACAAAGACCTCTGACTCAGCTGAGACCAGGCAACAAAGAACAATGAATCTTAAAAGTGAAAATTTAAAACCATCTTTTAACTTCCTGTCAGAGGAATCCATCAATGTCATATCCAATCCATTCACCTATCCCAATCCTAACTCATTTTCCAGATTCATTTCATTAAAACGTGCTAACGACTCCAAACTCCGGATGCCATTAGATGCCACTGAAAAACGAGTGTCAGATCCAAATGAGTGCATCATCTGCCACCGTATACTGAGCTGTCAGAGTGCCCTGAGGATGCACTATCGGACACACACAGGGGAGCGTCCCTACAAGTGTAAGCTCTGTTGCCGAGCTTTCACAACCAAAGGAAACCTGAAGACACACCAAGCTGTTCACCGTGCCACCATCCCGTTTAGGGTCCAGCACTCATGCCCCATCTGCCAAAGGAAATTCACGAATGCTGTAGTCCTGCAGCAACACGTACGCATTCACACGGAAGGTCACTTTCCCAATCCAGACCTTACAAATCGGAAATACTCAGTTGATTTTAAAGAAGGATTGGGTGACAAAACAAACTTTTCAAATGACGATAATGGGGACGATCGATTGTCTAGATTCACATCATCCATCCATTTGGCCCCATCTCTACCTGATGCTAACAAGAGCACAAGTTGCCATGGGCCAAATGGGAAAATCAAATGGATCAAAACAGAGAGGCCAGAGGGATCAAATGAGGAATGCAGTCAAACAAACAACCAACCGGCTGGTGAAAGCAATCAGTGGAGTAGCACATTCCCCACGTCTGAACCGTCTCTGTACCCTAATGACCAAGTTCCAATATATTTTAAGACTTCCAAGCTTCATGAATCATTCCAGACGTGGCTCGATTCTACAGCGCCTGCCGACCTGAAAGAATTTAACCTTGCAGAGGATTCGCCAAGCTTGATTCCCAGTCTCAGAGAAAAGGGGTTCCTGAAGAACACTTACTGCGATATATGTGGGAAGAATTTTGCCTGTCAAAGCGCCTTGGATATCCACTACAGGAGCCACACCAAGGAGAGACCCTTTATCTGCACAATATGCAACAGGGGCTTTTCCACTAAGGGGAATCTCAAGCAACACATGCTCACACATCAAATGAGGGATTTCCCAGCACATCTCTTTGAACCCTCCACTCCTGAGCAAGCACACAACCATAACAGTGCAGAGTTCTCTGTTAGCTCACAAGCTGTAAAGATAGACCTGACTGCTTTCCTGAGCTCCTCTTTTAGGAATGGCAAGGATCCTTCTTGTCATTCACAGAGCTCCTGTGTTTTCCCTCTATGTGCTGTAGTACCACCTTGCCGGACGCCCAAACAGCACCACTGCAAGACCTGTGGGAAGAGCTTCTCCTCCTCCAGTGCTCTGCAGATCCATGAGAGGACTCACACCGGGGAAAGGCCATTTGCCTGCGCCATCTGTGGACGAGCTTTTACTACAAAAGGGAATCTAAAGGTTGGTTCAACATTTATCATTTAAGGCCTTTTCCACTACAGGAACTTAACAGATTCTGCTTTTGTTTCCACCATTTGCTCCCCGCTTTGGGGAGAAGTTCCTGTAACTAAATTTGCTCAGGATGTGCTACTAAGTCCAAGTTCAGGTACTCTCAGGGGAAATAAATGCAATGGCTCATCAGCAATAAACAACATCAAACACAGTAATCAATGAAGCAGGATGTGTTTCAGTCAGGCCCACAACCGAACTACCCTCTCCTACCCAACATTGTTTAAAAAGATGATGTTTGTTCTGGCATCTGATGATGACTTTTTGGCGGCGTACACCGAAAACATTCTGGTTTGTAAAACTCAGTCAACACAACTCAACACAAAGCAGAACTTAGTTATGGGTCATTCGGTTCCTGTAGTGGAAAGCCAAAATTGGCTTCTAACAATATCACAAAGCATTGTCCTTCTTAAAGCTTCCATATGTCAGACTGTGAATCCTGTTCTGTCTATATAATAATCAGATTATTGATCAGCAGAGAGTGAACAGGTTGTAGTGTAGCTTTGTCCCTCTGCTGTCTGTGGACTGATCTCTATGTGTCTCTATGTAGGATGAGGGTCAAAGGTTGTGACCTTTATGCTCCCGAGTGCCTTCTCTCTCCGCTTCCCTACAGTGCCAACAGTGGGCAACACTAGCTAACATTAGCTTATAAATGGAGTCCGCTAACGGCTACAAACGACCAACACCCACCACAACACAGAGTCCACAACACAGAGTCCACAACACAGAGTCCAACACAGAGTCCACAACACAGAGTCCACAACACAGAGTCCAACACAGAGTCCACAACACAGAGTCCACAACACAGAGTCCAACACAGAGTCCAACACAGAGTCCACAACACAGAGTCCACAACAGAGTCCAACACAGAGTCCACAACACAGAGTCCACAACACAGAGTCCACAACACAGAGTCCAACACAGAGTCCACAACACAGAGTCCACAACACAGAGTCCAACACAGAGTCCAACACAGAGTCCACCACAGAGTCCACAACACAGAGTCCAACAAAGAGTCCAACACAGAGTCCACAACACAGAGTCCAACACAGAGTCCAACACAGAGTCCAAAGTCAAAGCTAGCATTACTGCTAAGCTAGTGGAACATATTGTCTGATTGTGCTGTTAGCTGGATAACGTTAGCTTGATTGCTAACATGGGTGAATTTCCAACTAGCTAACGTAGACAATACTATCAGCTAGCTTCATCCAGATTCACAGGGCTGATCTAGTTGTCAGTCTTTACTAACACAGTGAATTTGATAGTTTGCTCTAAATGCTGATTCTTACACCAGGAGTTGAACCTGATCCACCTGGATGAAACCTACCACTAGACCACAAGGAACTTTATGCTCCCTCCAAAAACAAATGAATTGATCACAAAATGTCCTGTTATCTGGTAACCAATCACTGCCCTCTTGTAGGTTCATATGGGGACTCACATGTGGAACAGCGCCCCCAGTAGGAGAGACTGCAGACTGTCTGTGGACAGATCAGCGGTGGGAATTGGGACTCGTCCTGTCAAACTTCCTGAGCCACCACAGAGGGATCCAGTGATGGTTTCCAAAAGCAGAGACTCTGTTCACCGCTGGAACCAAAGTCCACCAGGTCTGAAGATGACCGATGTCTGTGAGATTCAGAGCGGAGGACACGTAGGACTGAAGAAGACAACTGTAGAAAGCTCCGGTGTTTGTCCTCTTATTGATGGGACCAGTTATTTAGAGACATAAATATTGTGCAATGTTTTATTCTGTGTTTCAAAATATATGTAAATGTTAAATTTGTGGTTTTATACAGTTTTACTGTTTTTACAACTAAACCTCCCTAAGCCCCGCCCCTTTATGAGCTGTGCTCCAATCACAGTTGAGCCTCAGTCAGAACCTCAATCAACTTCCTCCTTTCCTGTTCTTAGATACGCTATATGCTAAGCTAATCTATGTTGACACATTTTGAAGATGGTTATAAGATAAAAGACACATATATAGTCCCATCTTAGGTTAACTAATGTTAGCAAAACGCTAACAACAAATTAGCTAGTGTCTTGCTAACATTAGCTATGAGATATAGTTAATAATTAATGTAGATTCGCCTGCTAGCTAGCTAGTGTTCTGCTATGCAGCAGAAGCTATCTAGCTGGTTAACTAGCCAGCTAATGATTGATGTAGATTAGCTGGCTGGACACTTAAGATAAAAGCAATGTAGTAATATCTTAAGTTAACTAGCAAAATGTTAGCTAACTAGCTAACTAACAGTTGATGTAAAATAGCTAGTTCTGACGGAGGCTTGCTCAACTGTGATAGGAGCACAGAGCAGAAAGGGGCGGGGCTTAGGAAGGGTCAGCTGACATATATCAAACATGTCTGTAAAAAGTCAATTGTTGTTATTTACAATTTCACTGTCAGTCTGTACGTTATCTTTGTTTTTAAGTGTCGATAACAAAAAATACAGATTTCTGTTTATCTGAATCTTTCATCAATTATGACTATTGATTTGTTGATTACAGTGGGACAGTGTATGTGGTGAGTTCACTGTCTGTAATAACAGTGGGACAGAGTCTGTGGTGAGTTCACTGTCTGTAATAACAGTGGGACAGTGTCTGTGGTGAGTTCACTGTCTGTAATAACAGTGGGACAGTGTCTGTGGTGAGTTCACTGTCTGTAATAACAGTGGGACAGTGTCTGTGGTGAGTTCACTGTCTGTAATAACAGTGGGACAGTGTCTGTGGTGAGTTCACTGTCTGTAATAACAGTGGGACAGTGTCTGTGGTGAGTTCACTGTCTGTAATAACAGTGGGACAGTGTATGTGGTGAGTTCACTGTCTGTAATAACAGTGGGACAGAGTCTGTGGTGAGTTCACTGTCTGTAATAACAGTGGGACAGAGTCTGTGGTTAGTTCACTGTCTGTAATAACAGTGGGACAATGTCTGTGGTTAGTTCACTGTCTGTAATAACAGTGGGACAGTGTCTGTGGTGAGTTCACTGTCTGTAATAACAGTGGGACAGAGTCTGTGGTTAGTTCACTGTCTGTAATAACAGTGGGACAGTGTCTGTGGTGAGTTCACTGTCTGTAATAACAGTGGGACAGTGTCTGTGGTGAGTTCACTGTCTGTAATAACAGTGGGACAGTGTCTGTGGTGAGTTCACTGTCTGTAATAACAGTGGGACAGTGTCTGTGGTGAGTTCACTGTCTGTAATAACAGTGGGACAGTGTCTGTGGTTAGTTCACTGTCTGTAATAACAGTGGGACAGTGTCTGTGGTGAGTTCACTGTCTGTAATAACAGTGGGACAGTGTATGTGGTGAGTTCACTGTCTGTAATAACAGTGGGACAGAGTCTGTGGTGAGTTCACTGTCTGTAATAACAGTGGGACAGAGTCTGTGGTTAGTTCACTGTCTGTAATAACAGTGGGACAGAGTCTGTGGTTAGTTCACTGTCTGTAATAACAGTGGGACAGTGTCTGTGGTGAGTTCACTGTCTGTAATAACAGTGGGACAGAGTCTGTGGTTAGTTCACTGTCTGTAATAACAGTGGGACAGTGTCTGTGGTGAGTTCACTGTCTGTAGTATCCTGTAACATCACAGACTCACTCAGAGAACTAATTCCTGAAACAAAACCTCCACAAACCTTTCGAGAGAGAAACATCTGCACACACATTCACATATTCTGCTTTAATTCCGTGTAAAACACAGATCAGCTGTCTGTCCTCACTGTGTCTGTCTGTCTGTCGGTCTGTCTGTCTGTATACCCATGGTACAGACAGACAGAAAGACAGACAGACGCTGACAGCAGCTTACTTGCTTGTCTAATGATTGCATATTTCACATCAAAACTGCCGCCTCTGCACGTTGTTTGTAAGAAGGCTTTTCCTCAGTCAGCATTTCAGCAGCGATCACTGTTGTTGTCCCGACAATGGAAATATTCAATAACACGAAGACCTGCCAAATCCTCCACCACCATGATATCACGCTAACAGACTGAGGCTAATGCTAAAAGGTCCCAGGTTATGATAAAGCCTGATGGAGGTCTCTGTGTGGATCAGGTGAACCTACATGAACATCTACTCACATTCCTCGAGGCAACGGCCGAGGAGGTGGAGTAGCAGCCATATATGATTCGAGCGTTTTAATGGACCCTAAACCTAAACTAAATTATAATTCATTTGAAAGCCTTGTTCTTAGTCTTTCTCACCCAAACTGGAAAACACTGCAGCCAGTTCTATTTGTTATAGTGTACCGCGCTCCTGGACCGTACTCTGATTTTATATCTGAATTCTCAGAGTTTTTATCAAGTTTAGTCCTTAAATCAGATAAAGTAATTATTGTAGGTGATTTTAATATTCATGTGGATGTTGACAATGACAGCCTTAGTAATGCATTTATATCATTAATAGACTCAATTGGCTTCTGTCAGAGTGTAAATAAACCAACTCATTGTTTTAATTACACTCTTGACCTTGTTCTATCATATGGCATTGATATTGAACATTTAATAGTCTTCCCACATAATCCTTTCCTATCTGACCATTATTTAATAACTTTTGAATTCATACTATTAGATTATAAGCCATTAGGCAAAACTTCCTACAGCAGATGTCTATCTGACAGTGCTGTAGCTAAATTTAAGGAGGAGATTCCTTCAGTTGTTTAATTCAATCCTCCTCCTCACCTATAAAGCTCTTCATGGTCAGGCCCCTTCATATCTTAAAGAGCTCATAGTACCCTATTACCCCTCTAGAACACTACGTTCTCTGAATGCTGGGCTACTTGTGGTTCCTATAGTCTCTAAAAGTAGAACAGGAGCCAGAGCCTTCAGTTACCAAGCTCCTCTCCTGTGGAACCAGCTTCCAGTTGTGGTTCGGGAGGCAGACACCCTCTCCACATTTGAGAGTAGGCTTAAGACATTCCTCTTTGATAAAGCTTATAGTTAGGGCTGGATCAGGTGAGTCCTGAACCATCCCTTAGTTATGCTGCTATAGGCCTAGACTATCGGGGGATTTCCCATGGTGCACTGAGCTCCTCTCTTCCTCTCTCTTTCTGCACTCATTCATGTTCCATTAATGCATGTTACTAACTCCACTTCTTCCCCCGGAGTTCTTGTGCTTTCTCGTCTCGCAGGTTCTTGTCGATCCTGGTGGAGCCTCCTGCCATGGTCCTGCTAGATTGCCATTGCCAATATCACTGATATTATTGTTGTTATCATTATTATTATTATTATTACTACAATTACTATTATTACTATAATCACTGCTCATTGTCCCCCATCGTTGCTGTTGTCGTCGACATCGTCTTCTTCATGTTCATCATCATCAGTCACTACTATTAGTGTAGTTGTTGTTACTGTTGTTGCTGTGCTACTGTCTGTCTGTCTCTTTCGCTCTGTCTCTGTCTCTCTCGCTCTCTCTCTGTCTCTCTCTCTCTCTGTCTGTCTGTCTCTCTCTCACTCTCTCTCTCTCTCTCTGTCTCTCTCTCTCTCTCACCCCAACTGGTCGAGACAGACGACCACCCACCTAGAGCCGAAGGATCTGTCCTAGGTTTCTGCCTTTTAACAGGCAGTTTTTCCTTGCCCTTGTCTCCAAGGTCTTGCTCATGGTGGTACTGTTGGGTCTCTGTAAATAATGTTATAAAGAGTTCGGTCTAGACCTGCTCTATTTGAAAAGTGTCCTGAGATAACTTCTGTTATGAATTGGCGCTATACAAATAAAAAAGAGAGAGAGAGACAGAGAGAGAGAGAGAGAGACAGACAGACAGACAGACAGACAGACAGGTGCACAGCAACAACAGTATTGGCAATGGCAATCTAGCAGGACCATGGCAGGAGGCTCCACCAGGATCATGAGAACCTGCGAGACGAGAAAGCACAAGAACTCCGGGGAAGTTAGTAACATGCATTAATGGGACATGAATGAGTGCAGAAAGAGAGAGAGAGGAAGAGAGGAGCTCAGTGCACCATGGGAAATCCCCCGATAGTCTAGGCCTATAGCAGCATAACTAAGGGATGGTTCAGGACTCACCTGATCCAGCACCAGGCCAGCTGATAGTCTTGCCCGGGCCCGGGACGAGATAATATTAGATGGCCCCCCCCCCGCGCCCAGATCTCTCCTTTTCCCTATATAATAATAAATGCTATATATTTTCCCTAGTTGACTTTTTCTCTACTTCAAGGGAGAACAGCAAGCATGGTAGGGAAAATAATTTTTTAATACATTTTTTTCCCTTCCATTGTGGGATGTGGAATATGTCAAATAGTTTGGGAATTCCCTGCCCTCTGCATCTGCTGGCAATTCCTTTGCCCTCTCTGAGAAAGGCGTTCGTTTGGCCATCACACGTACGAGGTTCACTCTATCAGAGTCGGTCATTCTAGTTGGCCATAATGCAGGATCGCTGAAATCGCTGGAGCTACCAAACTCAACTGTTTCTGTCGGAGATAACGTGTTGTGTCAGGCTTTTATACGAGCTGATGGACGTTAACATTAGAGCTGGCCTGTTAGGTTACGTTACAAGGCTGGTAAATGTTGGCTGCGCTGTTTCTTACTTTGCTCTACGTTGACTTTACCAGTTCCAGCTTCACTGTCACCAACTTTTCTTAAATATTTAGAAAATCTCTAAGGCCTCTATTTTCTTCTTCTCTTCTCCTCTTTTCTTTCCTTTTCTGAGCACCGGACTCGTGCTGACCGGACATTTTGAGCCTACTGAACTTCAAATCAAATGACAACATCAAATTTTGATCAGTGGCCAAATCATTTTTGTGTTGGGGGTGGGGGGGTTCTTGACCACTACTTCAAGGACAATTAGGAAGAAAACAAATAAAAAGCTTTTATGTAACTCAAGTATTACATATTTTTTCCACAAAAAGGCCTATTTTAATGTAATTTTTTAATAATTATTCCATAATTTAATGAGGGCCCAGTTCTGCCCCCCCACCCCCCACTACCCTGGGCCCGGGACAACAGACCCGTTTGTCCCCCCCTATCGGCATAAGCTTTATCAAAGAGGAATGTCTTAAGCCTACTCTTAAATGTGGAAAGGGTGTCTGCCTCCAGAACCACAACTGGAAGCTGGTTCCACAGGAGAGGAGTATTCTTTTGGTGCTGCATTCAGGGACACGGACAAGGTTAAACTGTATATGATGCACAGATAAACTCTCACACTGACTGAACTGATAAGGACAGAAAATATGAACCTTTAATGAATTTTAATGACGCCACAGTTGTGAACATTTTACTGTCAGTGATTAATATTCAGTGTCAGGTGATTCATGGCTCCACTGCTCACCTGGAGAGGAAATATTCAGGGGCACGAATGACCATTTACATATTTATATTACAGGGCTGCGATCATACGATAGCTGGACGTCTTTGTGTTTGACATTGTTCACGTCACACTGAGCATTATGGGATGTGCAGCTCAGCAGTGCTGGAATGTAATTAAGTACATTTACTCAAGTACTGAAGTACAAATAATGTTCCTTACTTTCTTTTCTTCTCATGCAACTTTATACTTCTACTACTGTTTACTTCACTTAAAGCTTCAGTTATTAAAACTTTAAATAGATTTTTACACTCCAATCACAGTTGAGCAAGCCTTGGTCAGAACTTCCTCCTTTCCTGTACTTAGATATGCTATGCTAGGCTAATCTATGTTGGAAAGACAACCACATTTATTTATTTATTTTCATTTTCTCTTTATTTGGAATCACATATCAGCACTTAACACATTCAACATAGTTTGATAGAATTATACAGTGATTCATCTTTACAATTTTTGTTTTTAAAGAACAAAAAATAAATAAAAAAGAGAAATTACAAACAGTTAAACAAAAGAAGGGCGTTTAGGGGCAATATACATTTTCCACTTTCCCCAAATTTCCTCAAATCTAGTTTTCTCTAGTCTCACAGAAAAGGTCATTCTTTCCATTACATAGATTTCGTAAACAATGTCATAGCATTCCTCTATAGATATTTACAGATGTTGAGTGTAGAAAAACAAAGAGAAGTTTGTCCCAATTAAAAGCATTTTTTGTTCCAAATATCATCATTCTGTGTTGACCTTACGCCAGAAAGCATTTACAATTGGACAGGCCCAGAACAGGTGGTAATGGTTTGCTTCCTGAGAGCCACATTTTCTCCAGCAACTGGAGGAACCTGAGTGATGAGACTGCTGAACAGGTGAAATAAAATATCTGCTGAGACTCTTCCAGAGATTGAACTTGATATCTTCCATTGAAATTCACCATATTTGGTCGAGACTTCCTCTGTGATGCAACTGTTGGTTTCGCTTTCCCGTTTTTGTTCCATGTAGATGTTGCTGACAACCATATTTTGAAGATGGTTAAAAGATAAAAGAAACAAATATATAGTCAAATCTTAAGTTAACTAACGTTAGCACAACACTAACAACAAATTAGTGAGCGTTTTGCTAATGTTAGCTTTCATAGCTTTAATATCGGATGTAACTAGCTTGCTCGTGCACATTCAGAAGGTCAAAGGTCAGACTGTAGTAGTTCATTCAGGGGGCTCCTGCAGTGATTTGTGAGTGTATGTAAATGGCTGCAGCCAGGTAACATTTATCAGGAGCGATGAGGAGCTGTGATAGGAGGAAGGATGACGTTATTAACCTGTGACACAGTCAGCATGAAGAGGAGGCTCGTACAGGAAGAAGATACCATCATTCAGCTTTTACTACAGGAAGTATTTAACTGCTTATGAAACACTCTCAAGTTACTACTGGTTCTCTATGTGACCGACATAAACACCAAGACCATCAGACTGAAGACTTCTGCAGAGTAATCATTAGTCCACATCAAACAGGAAGCAGAGAGCTGTTTCCTCATTTTTACCAAAAGAACTGGCAGTTGGGGAGGGATGTAATAGTTCCCCTCAACAAACAGCTATGGCAGAAAAATTTGTAGTTTTTCTGGCCAACTTTGGCTCCTGAGTTAGCTGACGTTAGCTAATGGCAGCTAACGCTACTGTTAGTGGCAATGAGCTACTTGTAGTCCATCAGGAAACTGATAATAAAGTTGTGTTTGTACAGTGTTAATAAAGTTGTGTGTTTGTACAGTGTTAATAAAGTTGTGTGTTTGTACAGTGTAAATAAAGTTGTGTTTGTACAGTGTTAATAAAGTTGTGTGTTTGTACAGTGTTAATAAAGTTGTGTGTTTGTACAGTGTTAATAAAGTTGTGTGTTTGTACAGTGTTAATAAAGTTGTGTGTTTGTACAGTGTTAATAAAGTTGTGTTTGTACAGTGTTAATAAAGTTGTGTGTTTGTACAGTGTTAATAAAGTTGTGTGTTTGTACAGTGTTAATAAAGTTGTGTGTCTGTACAGTGTTAATAAAGTTGTGTGTTTGTACAGTGTTAATAAAGTTGTGTGTTTGTACAGTGTTAATAAAGTTGTGTTTGTACAGTGTTAATAAAGTTGTGTGTTTGTACAGTGATAATAAAGTTGTGTTTGTACAGTGTTAATAAAGTTGTGTGTTTGTACAGTGTTAATAAAGTTGTGTTTGTACAGTGTTAATAAAGTTGTGTGTTTGTACAGTGTTAATAAAGTTGTGTGTTTGTACAGTGTTAATAAAGTTGTGTGTCTGTACAGTGATAATAAAGTTGTGTGTTTGTACAGTGATAATAAAGTTGTGTGTTTGTACAGTGTTAATAAAGTTGTGTTTGTACAGTGTTAATAAAGTTGTGTTTGTACAGTGATAATAAAGTTGTGTGTTTGTACAGTGTTAATAAAGTTGTGTGTTTGTACAGTGTTAATAAAGTTGTGTGTTTGTACAGTGTTAATAAAGTTGTGTTTGTACAGTGTTAATAAAGTTGTGTGTTTGTACAGTGTTAATAAAGTTGTGTGTTTGTACAGTGTTAATAAAGTTGTGTGTTTGTACAGTGCTAATAAAGTTAAATAACGTTAAAGAATAAAATCAGAGTGGGGGAATCTATTTGATTTAATAAAACTTTATTTATTTGTTTACAGTAGAAGAAATTCCTCTTGACAAAAACATAAAAACAACTCAGACAAACGTGATAAATAATAAACGATAAAAGAACTCCAGTCTCTAAAAATCAGGCCTCATAAAGAGAGATCAATAACAAACAACAACAACAACAACAACTGTTCTGTTTTCAAACCTCTTTGTTTTACACATTTACTGTTGACCTCCGCCCAGACACACAGAGAGGTTTCCAAACCAAAAAGATCAGATTGATTCAATAAAACAAGCTCATGATGTTTATATCGTCTATATCCTGTATACAGACAGAGCTCCACCTGCAGGTGACAGACTGAACAACATGAGTCAGGTGATGCATTCCGTATCTTATACATTCACTGTCACATTCATCGTGCTACCGTCTCAACTCTTTGTCAAACACCACCCGGCTGATATCACCTGAGTCATAAAACAAACTCTCCATCTACCAGCAGACTGCTGCAGTTTCACTTCCTGTTCTGTTGTTGGTATAAATTCATCCGCTGAGAACTTCCTCCTCCGTCTGTTCACTCTCTGTCTCAGTGGACGCTGTGTTTGGACTGTTCAGGGTCAGATTGTGTCCTCTGGAGGACTCCAGGTGAGACAGTTTATTACTCTAATGAATCAGTAAGACTCACTGAGCTGTTGGGATATTAAAGACCTGATGTTTGACGTTGGGGATCAGCTGTGATGGCAGAAGCAGAACCAGAGAGGGACACTGGAGACCTGACTGAGACCAACCTGACGGCTCTGGATCCAGGTTCTAACTTATGTCTTTTTATAAATGTATTAACCTCTTCCTCAACGTGAGTCCTCTTCTTCTGTGACGCACTCATGTTGAACTGTTCCTTTAAAGCTTCCAGAAGGTTCTGAATCCTGTTGTGTCTCTATAATAATCAGATTATTGATCAGATTATTGATCAGATTATTGATCAGCAGAGAGTGAACAGGTTGTAGTGTAGCTTTGTTCCTCTGCTGTCTGTGGACTGATCTCTATGTGTCTCTATGTAGGATGAGGGTCAAAGGTTGTGACCTTTATGCTCCCGAGTGCCTTCTCTCCCCGCTTCCCTACAGTGCCAACAGTGGGCAACACTCGCTAACGTTAGTTTATAAATGGAGTCTGCTAACGACTACAAACGTCTATAAAACCTTTCACTGCTTTAGATATTAAATCTATATGTAAACATTGTGTGCAGATGAGCCTCCGAGTTGCTCCAGTTTGACCACGAAGGAGCTGCAGCAGAACTGGAGGGCAGCGAAGAAGAGAGAGCGACCCGTCAGGCTGCTGTTTGAAATCCCATCGACTCGAATCATCGAACACAGTCTGTCCAGATATGTGGTGAGATCAGGAAACACACTACATTTATCTGACAGCTTTAGCTATTAGCTTAGCATAAATACTGGAAACAGTGAGAAACAGCTTTATTAGCTTAGCATAAGATTAATGTGAACATGGAGTAAAAACAGACAGGTCGTGCTGCTTCCTGTTTGTCTGCAGGTGTACGAGGTCGTGCTGATGCGTTCTGGCAGCTTTGATTCCCGCCGTGTGTCCGTGGAGCGCCGTTACAGCGACTTCTCACGCTTCCACCACAGACTGCTGGAGGAGTTCAACGAGGAGCTGGAGGAGGTGCTTCTCCCCAGAAAACTCCTGACTGGGAATTTCAGCCCAGAGCTCATCTCGGAGCGCCGCCTCTCTCTGCAGGACTACCTGGCTAAACTGTACGCCGTCCGCTGTGTGCGACACTCACCGCTGTTCCCCACATTCTTCACTGAGCACGAGCAGAAACGGGCGCACAGTTTGCTGCGAGCGGGACAGTTTGGGCCGGCCGTGGAGCAGCTGCAGACCGTCTTAGAGACCGAGGAGAAGCTGCTGCCGTGGCAGAAGCCCACCCTGATCGTACCGACCCTCTCTGCCCTGGCGGTCTGTTACCGGGACCTGGACGACCCGGAGCAGGCGTTTGCAGCCGCTCAGAGAGCGCTGCCTCCAGTGAGACGCTACGGACAGAAACACTACAGAGCGGCGCTGCTGGAGCTGCTGGTGGATTTAGGCTACCAGCTGGGACGTCCTGTGGCTCAGTTACAGGAGGAGCTGACTGTCCTCAGAGACGCTGAGAGGGGGGAGGTGTCCTCACGCTCTCTGAAGGAGTTAGTGATCCACGAGTTCACCTGAGAACAGGTGACAGTGGAGTACCTGACCTCCGACCTGCAGGGCGGAGTTCCAGCAGTTAATCCCACCCACTGCTGTCTGATTGGTTTAACTGGTGAATGTGGGCGGTGTTAAATGTTGATTGGATAGCAGCTAGCTTAGCTAGCAGCCCAGGGTGAGCTATTCTGGCTAACTGAGCTAAAGGCAGCAACTGGTGGAGACAGACGACCACCCACCTAGAGCCGGAGGATCTGTCCTAGGTTTCTGCCTTTTAACAGGCAGTGTTTCCTTGCCCTTGTCTCCAAGGTCTTGCTCATGGTGGTACTGTTGGGTCTCTGTAATTAATGTTAAAGAGTTCGGTCTAGACCTGCTCTATTTGAAAAGTGTCCTGAGATAACTTCTGTTATGAATTGGCGCTATACAAATAAAATTGAATTGAATTGATCCAGTTTCACCAAAATCTCTGAAGTTGTGTTTTTATTACACCTGAATGCTTCCTGCTGTGTGTGTGTGTGTGTGTGTGTGTGTGTGTGCCACTGTAACATCAGCCACACACACACACACACACACACACACTCTCTGTATCTGTTCTCTGGATCAATAAACAGATCGTGTGTCGTCCTGTTGCTGCAGATTGATCAACTGACTCTTTCAACAAAACTGCAACTTCCCCAAACTGCCTATTACCCAGCATGCCTCACTGTGTGTGTGTGTGTGTGTGGTTATTGGCTCAGTGGTTACTGTGTGTACATTTATTAAAGGTTATTGATCCTGTAACAGTAAAACATTTATTATCTGTTTATTCTGTGTATGAACACTGACTCATATTCCCTGTATCAATAACTAACCTGATCAATAACTAACCTGATCAATAACTAACCTGATCAATAACTAACCCGATCAATAACTAACCCGATCAATAACTAACCCGATCAATAACTAACCTGATCAATAACTGATTCTGAAATCAGTTTCACTCGTTTACCTTAATAATCGAATATAATATAACTGATTATATTAATGTTGTTCCTCCACCAGCACACAGACTGAACTCTTCAGTTGTTGCTTCCTCGAACATCAGCTAACTGCTAACAGCTAACTGCTAACTGCTAACAGCTAACTGCTAACAGCTAACTGCTAACTGCTAACAGCTAACAGCTAACTGCTAACAGCTAACTGCTAACAGCTAACAGCTAAAAGCTGCTCGACGTTCGACTGCTTCTGTCTGTTCTCACTGCGGCTGCGTGGAGCTGCCAGCGGCTCGTGCTCTCAGCCACAGATCAATAGTTGTATCAATAGTTGTATCAATAGTTGTATCAATAGTTGTATCGATAGTTGTATCGATAGGTGGGTTAGTGGTCGTCCGACCTCGGAGCGATGGCGAACGACTCCGTGAAACTGTCCAAGAACCTGCTGCGGATGAAGGTAAACTGAAGCTAACAGCCGCTAGCGGCCGTGTGTTAGCTCAGCTAGCTTTAGCTCCCGCTGCCGCGCCAAACCTCATTCACAAATCAGACGATAATTGTTTTCCTGCTGTTCTGAAGGCGCTAACTGCTGGAGAACGTCGAAGTAATAACGTTTTTAATTAATGTATTAAGCGTGTTAATTCGGCCATAGTTTGATCCACCAAATGTCTCTTAAATCAACGAATAACCTGACTCCCACTGGTGGCTGTATTCAACCATAGTCCGGTTCTGTAGATGAGAACGTGTTTCTCCCCCAGTCCTCTGACACTGTTAATGTTAGTGACATTTAAACGAGGTCTGGTGTGTTGGTACAGTTCATGCAGAGAGGGCTGGATGCAGAGACGAAGAAGCAGCTGGAGGAAGATGAGAAGAGGATCATCAGTGATGAACACTGGTATCTGGACCTGCCAGAGCTCAAAGCTAAAGAGTGAGTGTCCATTCAAACAGCCTCAGTGCTTCCCTCACCAGACTCCATTCACAAATCTGCCAGTTGAAGCTGTACATGTTAATCTGGTTAAAGTTTCAGACTTTTGAGTCCACAGGTAATTTCAGCATAAATATAATGTCAGCTTTTATAGCACAGTAAGGATTATTATTGTAATGAATTATAACTCAGATGTTTCTGTGTGTTTGGGTGTAATGGGACCAAAGTTACTAACAAACTGTATTTATATGGCGTTTTATACAATCTAATAATAGTTATTGTTTGTCCCTGTTTAGGAACCTGATCATAGAGGAGAAGAGTTTTGTTCCCTGTGAGGAACTGAAGTACGGACGCATCTCGTTCAAGGGTTTTAATCCAGAAGTGGAGGTAAGTGTGAATTATTATTATTATTATTATTATTATTATTATTATTATTAATGCTTCCTGCAGCGGTCTTGCTCTGTTATTGCAGAAATGTGACGTTCAGGGACATCAGACAATCACATAAAGTGTCAGTAGAGCAGCCAGCAGGTTGGAGAACGTTTGTAATGTCCTCCATCGATGGTGTCGATCCTTCAGTAATCCGTCTGTAAACATCCGTACAGCGCACTGCGTCCTACAGAGGATGGTTACTGACACACAATGCACTTTGGAAGAGAGAGAAAACCAGAGGAAGTGACAGGAAGTTAAACTGTCTGTTGTAATACTGAACTAGCTTAGCACGATAGCACGATAGCTCCACGTCAGCTACCAGTTATTGTTTATGGATAAAGAGAGAGAACCAGAGCTGTCTGCAGCTTATCACTGTTTACTGTTTGTCTTCAACCTGATTGGTTCGCTCAGAGAAACGTTGTAGTGTAATGTGACCTCACTGACTGGACCCGGTTGTTGTTGTTGTTGTTGTTGTTGTTGTGTGTCACAGAAACTGATGACTCTGATGAATCCGAAGGACGAGGAGGAGAAAGGAGAGGAAGAGGAGGTCAGCCGGATGCAGACAGACGTCACAGATGAAGAAATGGCTCTGAGGTACAAACGGTTGATTATCTGTGGTCAGTGAATGTTACAGAACTTCCTGCTCATACAGGAACCTCCTTCATCCCGTCTCTTCCTCTGCAGGTACGAGAGTTTAGTCGGGAGCATGAAGAAGAAGTTTGCAAAGAAGCGTCAGAGAGCAGTGATAGAAGAAGAAGACGTCAACCAGAACGTGGTAGAAACCAACACGAAGAGAGTCTTTCTGAAACCTCAGGACTGAACCATGGACGGACTTTTTATTTTTGAGTGACTCAGTGATTTTTTTACAGCTGAGGCTGGTTGGATGTTATACATCCTGTTTTTAAAAAAAAGATTAATGTTTAAGATGTTTTACAGCGTGTGCAGAGTGAGGCCTTCATTAAACACACAGCTCAGTGTATCCGTGTGTCTGTGCTTTCTCATATAGCTTATATATGTTAACTTGTAACTGCAGTGGGTGCTACTGCCCACCAGACTCCATTCACAAAACCACTCATTCTAGCAGATAGTTGTAAAACACACAGAATAAAACTGATTAAAAGCGTCTCTGTTAGTGTTTCCAACAATCACCAACTCTGGTTTGGTGGAAATAAATCCTTAATTCACCGACGTAGATGATAAAAACAGCAGTTTCAGTCGGAGCAGACCGGCTATGGAAACAACCCACAGAGAGGCTACGATACAACACAGGCAGAGGGAGAGAGACACCATGTGAGAGATATAGAATATAATGTTTAATATATTAATGTTTTTATTCTGTTTAAAATCAGACAGTCGGGAGGACAAACTGTAAATGAAACATAAATCATCGTCTCGGTTGTCTGCAGCATCTTTTCAAAGTAAGGGCGTGTTGTTCCTGTGGGAAACTGCCGACTGTGCTGAATCACTGCATTTTCCCATGAGCCTCAGCTCCTGTTGAGTCCTGCTGGTTCACAGTCGGTGTGTTTAAAGAGCTTCATGGCGATGGCGTCGAACACGCCGGTGGGACAGTAGCGGTGGAGGAACGGGAGCAGCCATCCCATCTGCCCCGGCATGTACACAGGTCTGGGATGAGCTGACAGCAGAGCGTGGCACATGTCGTCCACCACGGGAGACAAATCCTCCGCCGACTGCCGGGACATCTTGGACAGGCTGTTTGGGAGTGACGCGATGTACGCCTCCCCATAATCCTCTCTGGCATCAGAGGAAATTGTGGCGAGGACCTTGTCTGTGTAACGAGTGACATCATCACTGTTTCCAAAGATATCTGAGAGACAAAAAGATTAAAGGTTTATTAAAGGCTAACAGCGCCACCAGTGGCCGTTCATTAAACTGTAGCTAACAGCGCCACCAGTGGTCGTTCATTAAACTGTAGCTAACAGCGCCACCAGTGGCCGTTCATTAAACTGTAACTAACAGCGCCACCAGTGGTCGTTCATTAAACTGTAGCTAACAGTGCCTCCAGTGGTCGTTCATTAAACTGTAGCTAACAGCGCCACCAGTGGCCGTTCATTAAACTGTAGCTAACAGCGCCACCAGTGGTCGTTCATTAAACTGTAACTAACAGCGCCACCAGTGGTCGTTCATTAAACTGTAACTAACAGCGCCACCAGTGGTCGTTCATTAAACTGTAACTAACAGCGCCACCAGTGGTCGTTCATTAAACTGTAGCTAACAGCGCCACCAGTGGCCGTTCATTAAACTGTAGCTAACAGCGCCACCAGTGGCCGTTCATTAAACTGTAACTAACAGCGCCACCAGTGGTCGTTCATTAAACTGTAACTAACAGCGCCACCAGTGGTCGTTCATTAAACTGTAGCTAACAGCGCCACCAGTGGTCGTTCATTAAACTGTAGCTAACAGCGCCACCAGTGGTCGTTCATTAAACTGTAGCTAACAGTGCCACCAGTGGTCGTTCATTAAACTGTAACTAACAGCGCCACCAGTGGCCGTTCATTAAACTGTAGCTAACAGCGCCACCAGTGGCCGTTCAGTGAACTGCAGTCAGCGTCCTGTCCACGAAGCAACCAACGTCAGACAAAAATCCATCACTGCTTGGTTCTCACAGCAGTGATGGATTTATTGTTAAAGTAGAAATGTGTTTGGATGCTGTACGTTCAGATATTAGAGAAGATATTAGTTTATAGTATAAATGCAGTGAAGTGGTTGAATGTGATCATACTTGTTCTGAAGCCTGCAGGTTGAATCACGGACACTTCGACGCCCCACACAGACAACTCCAACCTCATCACCTTCGACAGAACGCTGAGCGCCGCCTTCGACGCGCCGTATGCAGCCAGCAGCGGCATCGGCACCTCACCTGCAGGAGACACCACCACCGCGTTACCACAAGTAATCAATACACTGATATTAATGGAACATAATCAGTACACTGATATTAATGGAACATAATCAATACACTGATATTAATGGAACATAATCAATACACTGATATTAATGGACATAATCAGTACACTGATATTAATGGAACATAATCAATACACTGATATTAATGGAACATAATCAGTACATTGATATTAATGGAACATAATCAATACACTGATATTAATGGAACATAATCAGTACATTGATATTAATGGAACATAATCAATACACTGATATTAATGGAACATAATCAATACACTGATATTAATGGAACATAATCAATACATTGATATTAATGGACATTTCGTGTCAGGTAACGTTAATGCTGTATTTTCGGGCATTAATCATTAATCATATCATTAAATTACATAATATATTGCCACCATTACTTCAGTAAAGCTCTTAACGTTAGTATCTTTCATTTAGCTATATTCATCACCCTGTGTTCATTCATAAGCCTGGCTAACTTAAGGTAACTGAAGTACCCAAAAGTCATACTTCAGGAAAAATAAAGATATGGTGTTAAAGTATTACTCTGGTAAAAGTGAAAGTCACCTAAATAAATAGTCCTTGCGTAAAAGTCTCAAAGTATCTGATGTTGGCTGTGCTTGAATATCAAGTACAAGTAAATGGTAAATGGACCTGTACTTGTATAGCGCCTTTCTAGTCTTCCGACTCCAAAGCGCTTTTACACTACGTGCCACATTCACCCTTTCACACACATTCACTCAGTCCATCGAACAGAACTAACATTCATACACACTCACACACCAGATGCAAGGCATCAGGAGGGTTTGGGGTTCAGTATCTTGCTCAAGGATACTTCGAAGGATACCAGGAGCCGGGGATCGAACCCACAACTTTCTGATTAAGGAGGAACCCGCTCTGCCTCTGAGCCACAGCTGCCCTTTTAGTAAATATAAATGATTTACTTGTGTCAATACACTGTATGGGTTACTGTAAACTTATTTTCTGCTATGATGTTTAGTTTTGGATTCTGTTTAAATCTAATGGCCGATTGAATCAATTGATTTTAAAATGTGCTAACCTGGCTCTGATTCATATAGAGATCGTTATATGTATATATTCGCTGGTACCAACCATGTATATTTGTTTGTTTCAGGAAAAAACTGATGATCCCCTACACCCTGACTATGTACCAAGTTTATTCAGTTTCGCCTTGTTTGTATTGTATTTGTATATTTACCTGGCGTTGAAATCAGGTACATATAAATGTCCGGATACCCGATATCTGGCCACATGTCAGTGTCCATGGATCAGATGGTTTTGGGGAGCTTGTATGGATCATTGTCGAGTCCAACTGTATATTTTATATTTTATTGTCTCTTTTTTAAAATCTTTTTAGCATTAGTAAATGTCTTATCTGTTGTGCCTGTGCACTTTATCTGTTTCACCGTGGGAGAGTGAGAACGACCATTCGATTCCTTTGTATGTCTGGTGCATGTGAAGTAATTGACAATAAAGCTGACTGACTTTGACTTTGAACTGACCTCAATTTCTTTTGATAATCCATTTTTATGCGGTTTCGCAGTGTCAACCGCTATCCTTCGACATGTTGTGGGTTTTGCCGCGGGGCGGAAGTGACGTAAGCGCATACCCTCTATATTGGCGCCGTTATTGCTGCTTCCAGGCACTGGTGAGACGGATCATCGCTGTCCTTATAAAAAGTACTCGGTTACTTTGTGGGTACAGAACAGAGTAAAAGTACTCGGTTACTTTGTGGGCAGCAGTGATGTGGCTTTTTGGACCCTGAAGGCACCGTGTGGACCCTGAAGGCACCGTGTGGTCTCCGTGCTCAGATCTACCTGCCATGCTGGACACGTTGACGATGCGTCCTCTGGACCTCCTCAGCAGAGGGAGGAACACCTGACACATCCTCACCGCCGCCAGGAAGTTCACGTCCATGCAGCGCCTGTACGCCGCCATCGGGTGGAGCTCTGCGTCCAGGGGGCACGGTAGGACTCCGGCGTTGTTCACCAAACCCCACAGACCTGCAGCAGACAAACCACGGTGCAATCAGGTGCCGGTTCCAGAGTCAGACAGGTACAGAGTCCCTGATGTGGTCTCACCTGTGCCAGCGGCCACCTGAGTGATGATGTGGCGGCGTGCGGCCTCAATCTGCGACCCGTCGGTGACGTCCAGCTGGAGGACCTGCAGGTTCTCAGACTGTCGCTCTCGGAGCCGCCGAGCTCCGGATCCGTTCACATCCAGAACTCCAGCAAACACCTTCAGTCCTCGTTCACTGAGCCGCTGCACCAGAGCCAGACCGAACCCGGAGTCACAGCCTGGACACACACAGACCTTAAGGGGGCAGCTGCACTCTGGATCCTGGTCTATATGTACTGATACAGTTCAGTGTGTCCGTTTATTAGTTACCAATATAACTGATCGGTGCTGATTGATTAGGTTAGTACAGCAGTGTTACACACTGATGGACGTCAGACAGGTTACGTTGTGTTTATGGTTCTGTGAATCATGGTACTGGATCCTCTTTGGTCCAGTTCAGGCCCTGAGCAGCAGAACAAGGAGATCTGGTTCTTAGCTCTGGTTCTGAGATCTGGTTCTGAGATCTGGTTCTGAGATCTGGTACTGAGATCTGGTTCTGAGATCTGGTTATGAGATCTAGTTCTGAGATCTGGTTCTGAGATCTGGTACTGAGATCTGGTTCTGAGATCTGGTACTGACATCTGGTTCTTAGATCTGGTTCTGAGATCTGGTACTGAGATCTGGTTCTGAGATCTGGTACTGAGATCTGGTTCTTAGATCTGGTACTGAGATCTCGTTCTGAGATTTGGTTCTGAGATCTGGTACTGAGATCTGGTTCTTAGATCTGGTTCTTAGATCTGGTTCTGAGATCTGGTACTGAGATCTGGTTCTTAGATCTGGTACTGAGATCCGGTTCTTAGATCTGGTTCTTAGATCTGGTTCTGAGATCTGGTACTGAGATCTGGTACTGAGATCTGGTTCTTAGATCTGGTTCTTAGATCTGGTACTGAGATCTGGTTCTTAGATCTGGTACTGAGATCCGGTTCTTAGATCTGGTTCTTAGATCTGGTACTGAGATCCGGTTCTTAGATCCGGTTCTTAGATCTGGTTCTTAGATCTGGCACTGAGATCTGGTTCTGAGATCTGGTACTGAGATCTGGTTCTTAGATCTGGTTCTTAGATCTGGTTCTTAGATCTGGTACTGAGATCCGGTTCTTAGATCTGGTTCTTAGATCTGGTTCTTAGATCTCGTACTGAGATCCGGTTCTTAGATCTGGTTCTTAGATCTGGTTCTGAGATCTGGTTCTGAGATCTGGTACTGAGATCTGGTACTGAGATCTGGTTCTTAGATCTGGTTCTGAGATCTGGTACTGAGATCTGGTTCTGAGATCTGGTACTGAGATCTGGTTCTTAGATCTGGTACTGAGATCCGGTTCTTAGATCTGGTTCTTAGATCTGGTACTGAGATCTGGTTCTGAGATCTGGTACTGAGATCTGGTTCTTAGATCTGGTTCTTAGGTCTGGTTCTTAGATCTGGTACTGAGATCTGGTTCTTAGATCTGGTACTGAGATCCGGTTCTTAGATCTGGTTCTTAGATCTGGTTCTTAGATCTGGTTCTGAGATCTGGTACTGAGATCTGGTTCTTAGATCTGGTTCTGAGATCTGGTACTGAGATCTGGTTCTTAGATCTGGTTCTTAGATCTGGTTCTTAGATCTGGTACTGAGATCTGGTTCTTAGATCTGGTTCTGAGATCTGAGTATAAATCTGTTTCCTGTTTGAGCAGATTTTTGTGTCGACAGATAAAAACATCTTCTAGCAGAATGATGTAATCAGTTTTCACTACGGGGTCAGAGAGAGTTCACAGTGACGGTATTCTCACAACAACAAACAACAACAACAACAACAACAACAACAACGACAATGTCTTTATTCAACAGTTTTGTCTTTATATACAACATCACTCTGCTGTGTGTGTATTAATGTGTGTGTGTGTGTGTGTGTGTGTATTAATGTGTGTGTGTGTGTGTGTATTCTGACCTGTAACCAGCACCGCTCTGCTCTCTGTCGGCAGCAGCTCGTCTCTCCTCCCGATGTGGATCAGGATGAAGCTGCAGCCGAGGAGGACCGGCCCACAGAGAGCTGCAGGGACCGTCCAACACACAGTGGCCCCCATGAGGGCCCCCATTAGGGCCCTGGAGGCAGCGGTCCAGTACCCGGACCCACTGAGGTCCCCTTTAAGCTTCCACAGCAGGGTGAGGCTGAACAGAGCTGCAGCCGGAGCACAGAAACTTCCTTCCATCCCCGACCGTCTGACAGGAAGCTCTCAGGTATGTGCAGCCAACAGGTGTGTCACCAACAGGTGTGTCACCAACAGGTGTGTCACCGCAGACCGCCACCTCCTCCCTCTCCAAACACCCGTCTGATAACGACACCAGCTCTGACACACTGCTGACACACAGACAACCTGCACTCATATTTATATTTATTATATTTATGTTTACATTGTTATTACACAATGAATCACTTTCTGTTTACTGACTGGAATTATTATTTATTATTTACATAATAACTTGAAATTAAAGCAGCAACCAGGAAGTGTTTGTGGTGATTCTGGCGCCCCCTGTGGACAAACGCTGTACAACCTCCTGCTCATGTGACCCACTGGCAGATATTAATAACTAATGATCAGAATCAGAATCAATAGAAACAGCTGGAAGTTGATTAATCAAATATCCTGAAATAATCTGTGTGATTCAATAAACTGTTAATCTGCAGGACGATCAATGACCATTAATAACAATCAATAAAGACTCACTGAGCAACAACTTCAAACTAATTTATTTGTAGTAACATTATTATAATTATAAATTAGTTATTTTTATGTCAGCCAAACTTTTAGTTAATTTCAAAAGTTTAATTTCTCTGTAAAGTGAATTATTCAATGTAGAAATATAAAGTACGACTTAATGTTTGTTTACATCTGTCGGACAATTAATTGATCTGCAATCGTTTTAATAATTTGTTTCTAAAATATATAATAATAATAATAATAATAATATAATCTGTTTTCTTTGTCGTATGTGAAGATAATCTAAATATTGGTATTTTTAGTGGATGAATAATCAATAATGATCAGTAACATTAAACGGAATATTTATTATTTCAGAATAAAGTAAAACAGGACAACAGTGTTCAGTGACAAACAGGACTTTTATTTGAAAGTCGCCACCTACAGTGATATCTGCACATTGTCAAACACGTCTACATGTGAGGAACATAAAGTGCTCGCGGGTCACACGGGATTCCAGCCAATGAGACAGGACTACACGGTGGGAGGAGCCAGCCAGGGAGGAAGAGGAGGAGCCAGCCGGGGAGGAAGAGGAGGAGCCAGCCGGGGAGGAAGAGGAGGAGCCAGCCGGGGAGGAAGAGGAGGACTCAGGCGAAGTTCTTCTTCAGGAAGCTGATGAGTCCGTTGGTGGATGAGTCGTGGGACGTGACCTCGGAGTCGTCCTTCAGCTCCGGCTCGATCTTCTTCGCCAGCTGCTTCCCGAGCTCCACGCTGTGGACAGGAGACAGGAGACAGGAGACAGGAGACAGGAAGTTGAGTGATGAACTCCTCTGTGGTTGAAAGCTGATGAAACAGGCAGTAAGTGACAGTTGAGCAGCTCGCACTCACCCCCACTGATCGTAGCTGTTGATATCCCACATCACGCCCTGCACGAAGATCTTGTGCTCGTACATCGCTGAAACACAATCACATTATTGATCACTTCATTATCCAATCACACCTGTGCTGGTCACACCTGTGCTCTCTGACTGGCTGCAGCAGATTGAACCTCAGTAACACCAGACTCCCTTTAAAAATCCCCCGTTTTAGGGTCACTGAGAGAAACACTGAAATAATCCTTTATTTTTATAAATTCAGGACGCACTGTTACTTCCTGTGACTGTGGGGAAACCTGATGTCTTCACATCACTGATGAAAGAAAGACTTCAACGCCGGAGGAAGTAACAGTGTGTCTCTCCTGTCGGGCTCCAGACGGCCCCAATAACGAACGTTTCTCCTCAGTGAGTCTGGTGTTACCGTGGTAACAGGTTGAACATTAACAGAGCTCAGATATGATCCAAGCAGACAGCGTGTGTCTGAGTACAGGACTGATCCATGTCAGGTCCTGTCAGGTGTTAACCTGCAGTGACCTCTAGTGACAGCACAGACCCTGATCTGGACCCTGATCTGGACCCTGATCTGGACCCTGTCCCCGGCTCACACTCACCAACCAGAGCTCCCAGCATGAACGGGGTCAGCTTTTTGAACACGATGGAGTTACTCGGCTTGTTTCCCTCGAACACCTTCAGACAGAAAGAGAGAACTTAAAGCTTTTATATGAAATATTAAACATTATATTCTCTATATACAGAGTCACATGGTGTCTCTCTCCCTCTGCCTGTGTTGTATCGCAGCCTCTCTGTGGGTTGTTTCCATAGCCGGTCTGCTCCGACTGAAACTGCTGTTTTTATCATCTATGTCGGTGAATTAAGGATTTATTTCCACCAAACCAGAGTTGGTGATTGTTGGAAACACTAACAGAGACGCTTTAATGAGTTTTATTCTGTGTGTTTTACAACTATCTGCTAGAATGAGTGGTTTTGTGAATGGAGTCTGGTGGGTCGTTGTAGTGTCGCTGTAGTGCTCCAGCAGCAGTGAAGGTTTTACTTTGTGAGGCAGCAGTTTCTCCACAGCGTCCCCCTTCAGGCCGCCGGCCTCCAGCTCTTTACGAGCCTCAGCTGGAGTCTTTCCCTTCATCAGAGCTTCTGTCTGAGCCAGGAAGTTCGCCACCAGGATCTGGAACACATCATATCAGCAGCTAATCAATAATATATACAGACACACAGTTCCTCCCTGTGATCAATACTCCGATACTACAGATTGATCACTGATTCCCTTATTGAAGTTTATCTTTATGGATGATATTGATCAGAATACACTGTATCTTTATAGTTTGATACTTTAATAATGGGTGTATTGATCACTGATCAGGATCATTATCAGCTCATTGTCAGAAAGTCATATTTTTATATCCAATCGATCGATAAAGTGAGCTCTACAGTGAAAGAGCAGCCTTATTGATTACAATCAGGCTTTATATTGAGGTGTGACCTCAGGTGTGACAGGAAGTGTTACCTTGTGGTGGAGGTTGTCTCTGATTGGATGCTGAGACTGAGCAGGAATGAGGAAGTCAGCAGGAATCATACGGGTTCCTGTTGAGGAAACAAACTCAGTGAACTTATTGTTCGTCCTGCAGGTGAGCTGGTTGCCGTGGCGATGACACTCACCTTGGTGGATGAGCTGGTAGAAGGCGTGCTGTCCGTTGGTCCCCGGCTCGCCCCACACGATCGGCCCGGTGTGGTAGTTGACACGGGTGCCGTCTTTGGTGATGTACTTTCCGTTGGACTCCATGTCGCCCTGACAACAAGACAGACAGACATAGAGACAGAGAGACAGTCAGTCAGACAGACAGTTATTGACGGAAACCTTCATAATGCCGGTTGAACTGATCCATCGCCTCAATCAATAATCACCAGCCAGTGTGAATCAATACAGGCGGGTTCAGCTCGTGGTTAAGAAACATAACATAGACCTAAATATTGATCAGATTATTGATCTGTAATAATGTTGAGCAGTACACACTTTACGAGTGCAGAGAATGAGCCTCAGACAGACAGTCCAATAAAAAGTCAAGTCCAACAATCTGTCAATAATCAGTCAATAATCGGTTAATAATCAGTCCAATAATCAGTTAATAATCAGTCAATAATTGGTTAATAATGGGTCAA